TCTAAACTCAGACCCTTTTGGGTGCCTCAGAGGCACCTGTTTTTGAAACCTGAAAACCTGTGTTCAAGTCCCCGGGGCCTACACTGTGGAAGGAAAGAGCCCATTCTCAAAAGTCGGCTGTCTTCCACACAGGATCCATGGCACTCACTGCTCCTGCAGCAAATATATATAATGATAATAATAATAATAATAACAACAACAACAGCAATAATCCTGTCAGGTGTGATTGCACCCTTTTAATTCCAGCATCTGGAAGGCAGAGGCAGGTGGATGTCTGTGAGTTTGAGGCTAGTCTGGACTACATAGTGGGACCTTCTCTCAAAACCCAAACCCAAATAATGCACCAAAGGCCGGTTACCTGAGCCTGCTCTGACAGGCCCAGGAGGGCATTCAGATGTCAGGGGGCTCAGACTCACATTCCTTACTGTTTTCATGAATCTGTGTCTCAGTTTCCATAGTTTCTGTACAGACTCTGATAAGAAGCACCTGAGAGAGGCAACTCAGTGTCTCAAAGGTTCAGTTTTTCCAGGGATGGGGGGTGGGGAGGGTGTGGGGGAGCCCAAGAAAGAATTTGACTGTGTGTGTCAGATGGGAGAGCTGCATCTTGGGTGGCTTCTCTGGGCAACAATGACACTCACACCGTGTGTCCTTCTGATCCTGTGTTAGGCTTGGCTTTGAGCCTCAAGCAACCTCAGGAGGGGAGCATCGTGTGTGGTGTCTTAATTCATGTATGTGTGTGTGTGTGTGTGTGTGTGTGTGCGTGTGTGGTACCTATATGCACGTGTAGAGAAAGCCTGAGGTTAACATCCAGTGTCCTCTTCAATAGCTCTCTTAGTTTTTAAATTTTTATTGCATTTATTAATTTATTTGTATGTGTGCAATGGTGCCTCCTTCTACTGTGTTGGTCGTGGATATCAAACTCGGGACATCAGGCTTGGCACCAAGTGCCTTAACCACTGAGCTATGCCTCTAGCCCCTCCATCTTAGTTTTTCAGACAGTCACTCACTGTTGCTAGACTGGCTGCCAGATTTACCTGTCACCTTCCGTAGGGCTGGGGTCACATGTGGGAAGTCCCATATCTGGCCTTTTATGAAGTTGTTGGGTCCAACATGCTTTTTGTGGCCAGCACTTCACCCACTGAGCTAGGTCTGAGCCTGTCTTTGATTTTTTGAGCTCATGTTATCAACGCTGTTCCCAGAATCTGAGTCCAGAGTGCCTTGGGGCTCTTGATCTTGCTGTCTCTACTTCTGGGTTTGGAGGCCTGCACCCGCATGCTGGCTAAGGAGGTCCATTTTCAGGCAGGAATCCTGAGGTCTCTGGAGGCCACGGGCTCACTCAGGATCACAGTCACTAGTGGCCCAGTGCCACAGAGCCAGATGTCTGGTTGTCAGGAGTGTGCCTGGTTTCTGGTGAATCAGTTTGTTGTCTGTGCCAGGTGCATATTGCCCCATTTATCAACAAAACCAAATTCCAGTTATGGGTCCGGTGAATAGTAAGAGGGAGAGAAAGCTGGGCAGTGGTGGTGGAACAAGCCTTTAATTCCATGACTCGGGAGCAGAGGCAGGAGGATCTCTGTGAGTTCGAGACCAGCCTGGTCTA